GCACAATTTTGAACGTGCCGAAAATTTAATGGAGTTAAGGGCGAAAATCATCCAACATTGTGCCGATGTTACGCCTGATCAACTCAGAAATACAAGAGCTTCTTTGTATGATAGATTCACCTATTGTTCGGATGTTCAAGGTGGATTATTTGAACCTTTACTCCATTAAATTTTGTGCCTAAATAGGTTTTTTTTAGTTGTTTTTAGAATTTTATCCTTTAAGTTTCTTTTAGAAATTAAGTTTTGTTTCTTTTAAGATTTACTTAAAAAGTTTTGAGATTCTTTTAGAGTTTATATTTTGTTTTTTTACGAATTTATTTTTTATTTTCAAAACCGTTACGGCAAAAAGCAATTGCAAACCTAGAATTATTTGTAAATCGAGTTTACAATGTAAATCGAGTTTACAAATAATTTTTCCAGTATAAAACGTGATAGATACGTAAAAATACGTATTTCATATAAATTTTTCGACATACTCCCTCCGTGGATCATTGATTACTGACTGCTGAAGTCTGAAGTGCTGAGCGAGGAGCACAGCATATGCCTAGATTCACTCGTTTAAATTTTAACAATAGATTTGGTAAAAAATGCCGCTGTTGCAAGATTTAAAATATTCCATCAGTTTCAAAGAATATTTCAAATTTATAATAAAATAATTATTATGGAAGTTCTTCAAAAAAAGAAAATATATTTGGTTATGTTGACTGCTCTAAACTAATCATTCCCCCAAAGTTCATTAAGTCAAAGTAAAATAGATTTGTACTAAGTAGTACTTGTAGAACTGCAGTACAGATAAGCTTGATATCATAAAGAATTTCTACGTCCTTGGAAATCAATATATTGCTGTTCCAGAAGTATAAACACATAATTGTAAAATTTTGAAAAATGACTTTATTGTGTTGGATAGTTCAAAACTGCATTTTCTATATATTTTTAAATCATCATAACTGTACTTACGGAATCACCGGTCATGGCGAAATTCGTAAGTACAATTACGACGATTTACAAATATGTTGAAAATGCAGTTTTGATCCTTCCAACACAATATTTTTCACAAAGTCATTTTTCAAAATTTTACGGTTATGTCATTATACTTCCGGAACAGCGATATATCCTATCACTTTGCCATCTTTGTTTGAAAGTGGAATCTTATTTTGTCTTTCAAAATTATGATTCGACTGTTACTGTTCCTGTCTGTGAGTAGGTATCTTAGCTGGGTGTAACATATATTCTACTCTTTTATATTCTGCAAGAATTTAAGTACTATCTTATTTGCAGAAACTATATAACAGGCCTCCTAAAATCCAGATTTGGTTTGATTCTTCATGCTTTAGTATTAAAAACAAAACTTAAATTTTAAACTTAAAAAACTTAAGATACAGTCTGTCCCAAACCCTTTTTTCAGTGCATCACTAATTTTAACGTCATATAGGATTTTAAGAATGTCGAGAATTATTGCATGACATTTTAGTTAAATCTGACAGTTGCAGGATCGTAATCGGCTAAACGTGAAAATGAATGGATACATGATTGGATATCTATTTAGCGTATTCCAAACTCCAACCAATTATACGTTCGTAAGTAGAATTCGCTTTAATATGCGAATACCCGTGAACGATACCTAATTTTCTAAGTTCTATGTATAATAATCAGAGACTCACGTTTTTTTCTGTCACTTCTAGCTTAATGCGTTAGAGAGAATTCGAACAACTATGACGCACTGAAAGAAGGGTTTGGGACGGACTGTATGTAAAAAACATAACTTTCTTGAACCTTTTAAAACAGAATATTAAATAGCTGAGAAAATTTATATCGCATGTTAGGATTCGATCAATTAATTTTGTACTCAGCCTGAGGTCTTTTTTAAGTCAATAAATCAAAATTTGTCTTAAAGGAAATCTGTTTTTATATATCATATTGTATATGGACGTTTTCAGATTGTGAGAACAATTTTTGACGTTTCTGGTTTGTTTACTTTTGTAGCTGTCAGTTTGTTGACTATTTTGCTATTTTTTGTCCTGTTTTTACATTTTGGAATTATTTATATTACACAAACAGTTATTTTCACAACTAACTTTATATTGCAGTTGAAAATTTTATGGTAAGTGTATTTTAATTTGCCCTTAATTTTCCTTAAACTTAACCTTATTCACACAGATTGTCATAACCATTTTCTGTCACTTTTTGTTGCTTTGAGTAAATTTCCGACTGATTTCGTATGTTTTAAATCATGACGCACGGGTAAAGATAAATTGACTCAACTGAAATACGTTGTTATTGAATTCGTTATTGATCGAATTTCATGGCATGTGATTTCTCTCATCAATTGTGAGAAAAATAAATAAATAACGAACATTTTCCTCCGGTTGGCAACACTGCTGAAATGTAGAAGTTTAGCTTTCAATTTTTATACGTGATGGGCGGGCAACCTTTTTGGGGGAGTTTTTACCTGTTTTAAACAACGAATTCAGAATCCAGCCGCACGTTGAAGTATTGGAATTGTATAATATAATTATTTGACAACCTTTTGTTGGCTAAGCACCTAAAGCGAAGTAGATCCGATAAACATGTATTTCCTATGTTCCGTTTTAATTTGGTTCAATCTGTATATATATATATATAAATGAATCGCTGAAATGTTTGTACGTTGTTAACTTCAGAACGATTGCATCAAATTAGATAATTCTTTTTTTTTTGTGTGTTTGGAGTAGGTTTGTGTAAAAGATAATAAAAAGTCATTTTAAATCGCAATATAACTAATTGATGGCGCCATAATATTACTAACAAAGGAAACTATGATGCGGCTCCAAATAATACCGATGAAGTTTCAACATATCAGATGGGAAGATATGTCAATAAGGCGATTTGGGGAATTTCTTCATTTTCCATACACAAACAGCATCCCACTAAATAGTTAATTTAGCTGTACACTTCGTGAATGAACAACGACTTTATTTAGCGAAAGAAAACGCAACGCAAAGAGATGAACGGTCACCACACCAACGACAATGTTTAAAGGGAGTTTTTTTTAGGGAGAAGGGAGACTTGGCAACATATACTGGTAGATTTTAAGTTCAACGATAAGTCAAAACCTGTTTATTAAAATAAAACAAATAAAAATAAAATAAATAAAATTGAAAAGTAAAATAAAATAACATAAAATAAAATAAAACTAAAATAGAATAATATAAATTGGGTGAACATTACAATTACAGTGGGTGATCAAATTATTATGATCAGTCACAAAATTTTAAGTTTTTTAAATTTGTTCAAAAATTTTATAATAAAATCATATGCTACTATACGATTAAGGTATGCCAATATATTTTGTTACTAATAACCTTACTTTTTTGACGTTAACAGCTCTAGAACTGTCATTTGTGTCAAATTACGTAACAACATACACATTGTGGTAAATTTGCGCTTGGAGTTTACAACTGAATTTGTATATTTTTGTATTGTTTTTGAAAGATTAGTATCGTTTTATGTTTGCAGTATGTTTTATTAATGTATTAGTGGTGATTGTAAATAAAAAAACCTATCAGTTTTAATTTTAAAGACATTTTCACAACATTTCGATTTTTGAGAAGAAAATCATAATGGGTAAGGCTAAAGACGTCACCGTGTCTAAAATGGTGGAGATAGACACTTTTATTGAATACAAAGCTTTCCCAACGTCAGATAAATCAACAATGCCAAGTAGCGCAAGCAACAGTGAGCAATATCAAGAAAAAAATTGATACCAACAAACCCCTGCCTCTCCAGCTTGCCCAAAAATGTGGTCGAAAGCGTGTCACTACACCCAAAGACGAAAGAAAAATGAGGGATATCTTCGTAAACAATATAAAGAAGCCAGGAAGAATCCTCACGGGACTTATTCGTGAAGCTGGAATGACAGTTTCTGACATGACAGTCCGCAGAAGACTTGCTGAGCAAGGTTTCAAATCATATCGTCCTGTCAAAAAACCAAAGTTGATCATCGCAACGATCAGAAAGAGACTGGAATGGGCCAAAGAACACCAAAATTGGACAATTGAGGATTGGAATAAGGTAAATTACTACTATAGTACTTATAGTTAATGGTAGTACTTATAGTGATAGTACTTATAGTTAATATAGTACGTATAGTTACAGTGGAGATACTCATGGATAAGTCAGCCTTCGTCCGAAGGCGAGTGGGTGAAAAATATCACAAGGATTGCATAGTGGAGCGAGTAAAGCATTTTCTCAAGATCATGGTATGGTCTGTGATCAGCAGTAAGGTCACAGGGAGGCTGTACATTGTGAATGGAATGATGAATTAACATCAGTATATTAAAGTTCTGGAAAGAAAGCTCATGCCACAAATCAAAGATTGGTTTGGCGAATCGAAGGATTTTACCTTTATGCACGATTTAACACGGTGTCATAAGGCAAAAACAGTAATATCGTACCTGGAAAAAAAGAAAATTAAAGTACTGAAGTGGCCAGGTAATTTTCCAGACCTCAATCCGATCGAAAATCTATGGGAGCTTATGAAGAGGGGGATTGCCCAGGAAAATGTCACAAATAAGCAGCAGTTAATTGAGACTCATTGCCATCTGGCACAGAAACGATAAAATAAAAGAAGACTGCCTGAGAAATATCAAATCATACCAAGGAGGATCAAAGCTGTCATCGAATTTTTCACGTCTGTAAATCGGAATCAACAGAACGATATAACAGTTATTTCAGTAACTGACAAGTTATTGCTGAAAGCAACTAACATTTGCAAATTTTCGACAGGTAAGAGGACAAAAAAGAAAATATTTAATTGTTTAGTTCATTGACACCAAAGCAGGTAGCACCTCTGAGCTCGAACTACAGAAAAGGGGAAGCTTTTGGAGACATTAGCTAGACTTTTTGATTTGAATCGGAATATGAATTCGGAATCGGAATGATTCCAAACATTTGGTGACACCTTGTAGTATATATTAATGATCAAATTTGGTAGATATTAATACTGTGTAATAATTACTTACTAGTTTGTTCTATTTCGCATGCAGCATGGATGTCTGAATAGGATATCTGATTTCCATTAATGAATTTTCCATTTGACAAAAAATAGTCCTGGAAATCCTGTAAGGACTTCTCCATATACTTTTTGGCCTTCCCCACTTCTTCCTCTGATGGCTGCTTTCCGGTTTTCATCGGATTGAGCCACTGATAAAAAGGATATGTCTAAGAGATGATCAGAATGAAATTTGAATATTAATAATTTTAAAGACTTACGGTTTTTATAAAATACGTAGAACAATTTACTCTAACATTTAAGTGGTGCCATTCCAAATATTCATCTGCTAGTGCTTGTTTTTTGCTGTCTTTTGGATACCAGTGGTCTTCAACTGGATATTGTCTGGAGATGTATCTCACTATACCAACGCTAGATGATGTATTAAAATAATATAAACATTAGAAATGTTGTAAGAACTTATTATTAAAATGTATTGCAAAAGTAAACAAATCGATAGATGCCAACTAGGGATAACTTTACCCATCTATGCAGTCCATGATACTCATTTTTTAAAGTCAGTTTTGACTTTATATGTGTTTGCCTTGAGATCAACTTTGGGTTTGCCTTTAAATGTGGTCTTCATCGAGTTATTCTGTAATTTTACTGCTTCCAGTAAATTATTTACTTTACTGTTCCACCTGACTCCTTTGTGCCTAATTTTGTAATTTACATTGAGACAGTTTTCTTATATTCTATTTTTTCATCTTCTTAATATTTTAAATTGGTTCTTATTTTTATATTTAAAAATGATTTGCAGCACATCACATATCATCCCAGTGGCAGAGTTTCTTCAATTTATTCATAGTCTGTGCTCTGGTATTTACTCTGGCTTATTTTATGGTGCACGTCAGTTACAAAGGAGTGTTTTTTACAACAGTATTTAACTAACACTAACTATTTATTATATATATTTATTTCTACTCTGTACAAAGGTTTACGTAGAACGCGTATATTTTTACACCAATTTTGAGAATCTGGTGTGGGAAAGAAGTCTTGAATGTGAACTGTTCGGTACGAGGACCAGTGGTGAAGTCTGAGAGAGGAGTCTTGAAGTAACTACTGTCCGGTACGAGCACCGGGAAGGAAGTATCTGAATGCCGCTTTGATTCAACCTTCTATACTGAAAGAAGCCGCCAATCTTTCAACGGTTGTAACAAATTTTAACGTTTTTAACGAACTTTACATGTCCCAAACGATGGGTTCTAAAAAGCCACTGTTTTATGCATTACGAAGAAACTGCATAATGATAAAGACAATACAATTAAAAGAATTATGGCCCTTTTACGATTTCCTAGAACGAATAAATATTGTTGACAAAGTTCTAGGTAGATAAAAAACTTGGACTAGTAAAAAATTAGCGAAGCGGTTGGTAAAATGAAAAAACATGCATGACCAGTTGTGATCGTAAAAACGATAATTGTATTATATTCAGAAGAAGAGAATTAGCGGTAAGATAATATCGAAGTGTGGTAAATACCAAAAGAAACAACCTGTGTTAAGGTAAAGCGGACGAGAAAATAAACTCGTTTTATTTGATTTGATATATCGAATATATGTAGAATATATTTTCGTGTTTTCTTAATAATTTTAACATAATAATGAGGGATTATTAGGGATATGCTAAGACTTTAACACTATCTAAGAATGTCCGTAAACACCGAATAATCCATTCAATATCTAGCTTTTAACTTAAAGAGATAAAATATTTATATTTTAGAAGCTTACCTTTCATTCAGTCTGAAGTCTCCATCATGTACTACAGGCACTTTTGGAATTCGTGAAACATTTTCTAGATATTCCTTTTTCAAATGTTCTCCTATAATTTCAAAAGATCAAAAGTAAATAATAAAAATAAAAGATTGATTCAGTGGCAATTTTTTAGCACTATTAACGTTTTTTGTTTTATGTTATTAGTCACTGACTCACAAAAGTAACACGTGAAATTGGACAGTTTTCTCCTTTTTGTTTTGTTAAATTGCCCTGTATAATAATTAAATATATTTATTACAATATAAGTTGCTTTTATTCATTCGTTTGTTATTTGAAACAGTTATTTTTGTGGATGAAAAGAAAGTTTTTGAGGTGCCCTCGATAAATGGAATATTAATTTAATAAATTTTATTCATTTTTGGTGTATGTTGGCCGCTTTTTCGAGAAAGAAAAGTGTTTTTAATAACCAAGAATAATTTGTAATAAGGCCAGATCAAATAGCGCAACTTGTTGCTCTCCATAATGATCGTTCGATTCGATATATCAAAGATATGCTTGGAGTTCTGCGAATAACCGATTACAATATCCGATTCCTTACAAAGATTGCGAGAAACTGGTTCAAACTTATGAAGATCTGTACAGGGAAGACCAAGATCAACAGATGCCATGGAAGATTGGTTTCTTACATTTCAAGAGCTTCAAAAACATACAGTTATTGTTCCGGCTTTGACTAGGGGACTGGTAGTGTTACTCTAACCATACTTTCACCTGACACTGTACGAACAAACTTTATCAACTTGTCGTGATTATGCAGATTGGGATATGGAAGATTTAAGAAATATTCTGTTCCATAAAGAATGTGGAAGAGGCATGGAGAACGCTACTCCTAATGTTGCTTAACTCAGAGTACAGTTTGGCAGTGGAAGTATAAAACGGTATGGCGCGGCATTTCTTTTTAAGTACATGCATATCTTATGTTAAAGGAAGGTGGCCTTAATGCTGATAAGTACATTAGGGAATGTCTGGAAGAACATGTGTTACCTTATATGCATTTTCTTCATTTTATGTACACATGACTCTGTCTGTTTTTCAACGTGCCTCCAGTAAGTTGTCGTTCCATCGTTTTCGTGGCCTTCCTAATGATCGTCTTCCCATCGGGAACCGCCTCTTGCCGTCTTAACTACTCTATTTGCTGTCATTCGGCTTATATAATCATTCCATTCTACTCTTCTTTTCTTACCCAGCCCAATGTTTTGTAAATTCTGCCTTTCATTTCTTTTCCAATCTTTTCATTTCTCCAGATTGTTTCATTCAAACAACCTTCGGCTCTGTTTGCTCTATTCACTTGATATTCCACTTCTGTTTCGAGCTTTTCAAAACTAGATAATGTGATACCCAGATAGAATAAGTGATACATCACTTGTTCTATTATCTGCTAAATCTCCTAAATAAGCACTCTTCTAAAACACCCGAATATAAAAGAAGAAATAACGTTGAAAATAAACGAGGAGATAAGCAAAACAATAATCATTGATAATGAAGATTCCAACGAATAATGGGAAACATTTAAGAACACATTAATGATGCCAATTAAAGATACGCTGAGTAGTTGAAGCTAAGACTTCATGAATGACAGATGAGATCCGGCAACTAATGGACAAAAGAAGATCATACAAAAACAAAAATGTAAACGAATACATTCTCCACTCTCAAGGAGATTAGGACAAAAATACGGGCAGCTAAAGAGAAGTGGTACAACGACAAATGTTTAGAGATAGAAGAACTCCAGAGAAATAGTAGAATTGCACAAAAAAAAAATAAAAATTAGCGGGTATAAGACGGTCCAACAATAGTAACACCCTGGTTGATACGAATGGTAAAATAATATCTGATATCAAAGGCAAACTAAACAGATGGAGATAATACATCCAAGAATTGTTTGAGGACGGCTGGACACAGCAAGATAGCATGCACGATTGCGAGGAACATGATATAGGTCCAAATATAACTAAGGTTGAAATAATACATGCAATAAATCTGACAAAATCTAATAAAACTGCAGGACCTGACACAATTCCAACTGAAATAATTAAATTAATATCAGAAAATCAGATCAATGTATTCAATGTATTAGTACTTATATAATACTATATATAATACAGGTATTATTCGGAGAGATTGGCTCAAATCAACATTTATTACATTACTAAAAAATCCTAATGCAAGGGAATGTAATGACCACTGTATAATTAGTCTAATGAGTCACACACTAAAAATATTCTTAAAAATTATCCATTTAAGAATTTTCAGAAAAGTGGAACAAGACATCACTGAAACCCAACTTGGATTTAGGAATGCCATGAGAGGTATTATTTAGATATAACGTCCTCATGCAAATATGTACGGATGTAAACCATCCACTCTATGTTTGTTCTATTGATTACAATAAGGCGTTAGATAAGGTCCGACACAACCGTCTTATACAGTTACTTAAAGATAAACATTTTGACAAAAAAGACTTAAGAATAATAACTCATCTCTATTTTAACCAAACAGCAAAAGTCAGAGTAGACAAAGAACTTTCGGAGGAAGTAGAGATAAAAAGAGGCGTAAGGCAAGGTTGCATACTCTCCCCCTTATTGTTCAATCTATATCCGAAAGAAACAATTAAAAAAACATTCGAAAATGTAACAATTGGAATAAAAGTCAACGACAGACCCATCAACAATATCAGATATGCCGATGATACTATACAATTTATACCAAAATTTATGACAATTTCCAAAACACAACAAGACATTTTAAACATAAGGGGGATTCCAATAGAAAAAGTAAAAAAAAATACAGATATCTTGGTACAATTATTAATGAAAATAACGAGTATACAGAAGAAATAAAAATGAGAATTGGACAAGCTAGAGTAACATTTAAGAAGATGAGAAAAGTATTATGCAGTAGAGACCTTAATTACTGTTAAACTGGGAATAAGCCACAATTAAAGATAAAAATACGTTTATTGACGTTTCAATTTCCACTTCGGAAATCGTTCTCAAAATAGTATTTTTTAATAGTATTTTGAGAACGATTTCCGAAGTGGAAATTGAAACGTCAATAAACGTATTTTTATCTTTAATTGTGGCTTATTCCCAGTTTAACAGTAATTAATTTACAATGCCACAAGAAAATAGCTTCAGAACAATGTAGAGACCTTAGTTTGCAACTCAAGATAAGAATTTCACGTTCATATGTGTTTTCGGTGCTGCTGAGGTGAGCGATCGACTTGAAGTATTCGAGATGTTGACCTACCGAAGAATATTAAAAATAAGTTGGGTAGACCGAATAACAAATGTTGTGGTCCTCAAAAGGATGACAAAGGAAATGGAAATCATCAATACGATTAAGATAAGAAAGTTACAATATCTCGGCCACGTTATGAAAGGGGATAAATATGTGTTGCTACAAACCATAATGCAGGGAAAAATACAGGGAAAATGAAGTATTGGAACAAGACGCATCTCCTGGCTCAACAATCTGAGAAAGTGGTATAATTGCAGTTCCATCGACTTGTTCAGAGCTGCAATCTCAAAAGTGAAAATAGCTGTGATAATTACCAACCTCCTTAGGAGACAGTCCCTGAAGAAGAAGAAGAATCAAGTTGAATAATAGAGGACTCAGGGAATCTCCCTGTCTTATCTCATTGCCAGCTTCGAGAGGGTCAGTTAGATCTTCTTCTACTTCTACTTTTATTGTGTTGTTTTGATATATATTTCCGATCGCTTTATAAGTATAAGTAGTTGCGTGAAATCTAGGATGCACTGATAAACATATATTTATGTATAATAAGATATGTTTGACATTTACTTTTAAAACATGAGTTGTATTTTGTCGGAAAGTATTTATATAATTTAGTATAAATTCCAGAAACATTAACTCTATCTATCTATCTAATCAGCCTTAAACGCCCACTCTTGGGCATAGGCCTCCCCTGTTCATCTCCATTGGTCTCTATTTTGGGCGATCTGCATCCAGTCCTTTCCTGCCGTTCTCTTAAGGTCGTCAGTCCATCTCATCTGTAGTCTTCCTCTTTTTCTTTTCTTTTTCCATGGTCTCCAGTGTAGAATTCGCTTATTCCATCTTTCATCTTTTTGTAGGAGAGTGTGACCGGCGAAGTTCCATTAAAGTTTTGCTGCCTGTCTTGATACATCGTTCACCTTTGTTTTTTCTCTGATCCATGAGTTTCTTTTTCTGTCTTTAAGACCGATACCCAGCATCTGTCTTTCCATTGCTCTTTGTGTTTTGGATATCCTGTCGATGTTCTCCTTTGTGAAAATCCATGTTTGTGAACCATATGTGATAACTGGTAACATGCACTGATTGAATACTTTCGTTCGCATATATTGAGGGAACTTTTTATTTTTTAGAATATATGCAACATTAAGTACAGAAGATAAAATTGAAATTGTTTTGATTGTGGGACAACAATATAAAACACATTGAGAAGCAGCTATTATTTTTAATAATAAAGATCCCAATAAAAATATAAATCATTCCAACGTTACGAAAATAGTAAATAATTTTAAGAGTACTGGAAGTATAAAAAATAAGTTTAATGGAAAACGCAAAAACCTGGTTGCCAATGAGAATACACAGTTTGAAGTAATGTTGCGTGTGATAGAAAATCCAAAACTCTCATTGCGTCAGAGGAAATCGTTGATGCAATAAACTGTAAGTAAAAATACAATAGCAAGAATTTTGAAACCAAATAAATACAAGCCATTAGACCAAAAATAATTCACACATTGAAAGAAAGGAATTTTGACAGGCGCTTTGATTTTTGCTGTCTCGTCCAAGGGTAGTTAGAAGAGGACCTATGTTCCTGTTGGCAAAATAATAATATATATACAGGGTGTTTCACCGGAAAAGTAACATACCTACGTTAACTATAAAAATAAGACACTTGGGCGATCTCAAAAACCCCATACGTAATGGGACCTACTTTATCAATAAGATAGATACTGTGTGTTTTATCTATTATGCCAACTTTTTATTTAATTTACAACTTTTTAAACACACTGTATATTTTCTTTATACTTGGTAAGCGAATAT